CTCTCTCTCTCTCTCTCTCTCTCTCTCTCTCTCTCTCTCTCTCTCTCTCTCTCTCTCTCTCTCTCTCTTGTGCGAGCTCTTAGTATCATTGATTTGGCTACCTTAGAGCTACGTTCCTCGGGCCCACGCGGTAGACAATAAGGGTATTCGCACCGACAACGCACCCTTGAAGTTGCTAATTGTTTCCACATCCCCGCGGCGAAGTGTCCGCCCTTGAAACGGAAGTGCGGCCCAGGCAAATCGATGAAAATCCCAAGGGTGCCTTGGGAGGTCACTTGGGGCGCAAGGGTTTCACCCTTCAAAACGGGTAATGTACGGACCTTTTTCTTTTTTTTCTTTTTTTTTCCACCAATCATCACTGTTCGTGGTGCAATGACGTCAGCACTTCAGTTTCAAGGACGGCCGTCTCAAGGGTTTCGTCAAGGGGTTGTGGAACGAAAAAACAAGTTGGGGGAAATGAATCACTTTCCTTAAGTTAGGGTGCCCTTGAAACTCAAGTATTTTCAAGTGATGTCGAACGAGGCCCATAGTGTCGACGAGAGTTGCGCTTTCAAGAGTGCGGTGTGGCCAAGAGCCAAAAACTGTTGAAAGGGCCTCGTTCGACACCACTAGAAAACCATTACTTTGTAAGGGCGCCCTTACGACGAAAATGTGATTAGTTTTCCGTTACTCCGTTTTTCGTTCCACAACCACTTACGAAAACCCTACACTTTATCGCACTTACATTTCAGGTGCCCCCGTTCGCGCCTTGCGCGACCGATAATTGAATGCGAGTGTCCGACCCAGTGTTGCGGCGGACAAAATCGTGTCCGCCTGCCTTGGGCCCATGGGAAACCCAGACCTGCCATTTTCCCAACGCGGGCGTGGGCTTGTCGCGGGCGCGCAGCGTCATTCGGCCGTGGAGGTTTAAGCGCGCTAGGACCCTGAACATTCAAATTCAAATTCCGCACCCGCCAGTTCCCTTCGCGGTCATTGCTTTGTGGACACCCCGCCGTTGCGTTTCCCGTAGTGTACGCACCAGTCATCCATCGTTGAGCGTGCGCACGTGGCTTCGCGTGTCGCTGTCGTGTGCGTTTTATGCGCAGCGTGGTCTAGCTATGGACAATAGTGGGCGCGATCCACAGGCGGCGAGGAGGTTGTCAACCAGTGAGAAGAGCATGGTCGCCAGTGCTGTCCTCGCTGTGTGCCGGTACATGGAGACGGTGAACGGGTTGCGGCGTGCGGGTGGGAGGGGGAGGGGGAGGAGGGAGGCCGCCATAGCCCAGGCGTTGGCAGACGTCTGTACATCGTCCGGTCTATCAGATGCTCCTTTCCTGTTGTCCAACGCAATTGTTGTTGGTGTTCTGCCCAGGGACACACCGCGGTGGTGGATGAAAAGACGAACGGGCGGGACGTGGCGAGACTTGGACGTTGTGGACGACGCGACGGATGAATATTTCCATGACAAGCTTCGGATGTCGAGGGCCATATTCGGGGACATTGTTGCGGCTTGCAGTCCATTCATCGACCGTAGACTGACGCACTACCGCGAGCCCTTGCAGACAGATCTTTTCGTCGCCTTCGCGTTATACCGATGGGCCACCACGCTTGAGAACGCTTCGTCGAGCTATGGCATCGGCAGGTCGTCCGGGGTGACGGCCGTCACGGACGTCGCCAATGCAGTACTGGCGGCATATCCAGACAAAGTCGCCATGCCGTCCGACCGTCGGCTGCTGTAGATGACCCGAGCATTCGGAGCGAAGGGCTTCCCTAATTGTTTCGGCGCAATCGACTGCACGCACGTGTACGTGGACAAGCCCGCCAACGCACCGTCAGAGAACTACTTCGATCGAAAACAGCAGTTCTCGGTCGCCCAAGTTGTCGTCGACCTCGACATGAGAATTCTTGACGTGTTCATGGGATACCCTGGGAGCGTCAACGACCAGCGGGTTCTGAGAAATTCTTCACTCTTTCGACGTGCGGAGGCGGGGGAGCTCTTCGTCGCGGAATCTTTTCTGCTGCCAGGGGGGGTGTCCAAAATAGGGTACCTGCTTGGGGACAACGGCTACTCGCCGAGAACGTGGATGGTGGTCCCCTACGGGGGGACAGACCAAGCAGGGGACATCGGATTGTTTGACACGCGGCAGAAAACGACGAGAGGAGTCGTGGACAGGGCTTTCGGGCGTTTGAAGGGGATTAGGAGGTTGTTCCTCCACCATCACAAGACTAACATGGATAGTCTACCTCAACAATTTCTGGCTGTTTGTATCATCCACAACTTGTTGCTTGAGGCGGGCATACCATTCGACGACTCGGTCCTCCTCGAGCCGGACAAGAACGGCAATCTGGTTCGTGTCGATCTGGGGTTGCAAGATCCGCCACGACCAGTGTCGCAATTGGGCGCAACCGACGCTGCCCTGGCTTTACGTGACGGGTTACGTGTGCGAATGATGAACTGAATCTTTGGGTGTGCGGCCGACGGTCATGTTCGGTGTCTATGGTTGTGTCGATTATAGGGTTTACTGCTTTAGACGGCGCCAGTCAATCCTTCTCCACTTGGAGAAGCAATCAATGTTGGTTGCCTTTTTTTGGTTTAGTGTGGCGTGTGTGGTCGTCGGCGGGGGGGGAATGGGCCGATCGTGCATCGCTAAATCGGCGTGTTTATGTGATGACAGTTCGTTGATTTTATCTCTCTTGTTCATGTTCTAGTTTATTATATAAGTGAATATTTTGTGTCTTCCTTTCACAAACTCATAATCTTGTTCAAGTCCTATTGATATTCCGCGTGGACGGTAAATGTATTTCGTTCTCTGTGTTTTTTTCCCAAAAGATAACAAGTGTGTGTGTTTATTTGCTTTCCCAGTTTTGCAATCGTTCATGGGTGAGGCGAAGCAGACAACAGAAGTTTGTTGCACATGAGCTTTGTATGTGTTCGGCACAGTACAAAACCCGAATGTAATCGACATCCGCACACCCACTGGCGACAAAAAATAGCCACGCAAAAGCACATACTCTCTTCACAATCTGAAATCCACACTTCGTAGGAAAACAGAGGGCAAAACACACAAACCAGCCAACACAATTGAACCCTGAAAGTGCATGCGAACTTAAAAAAACGTAATGAACAACTCCACCACCACCTCACAAAACCTAAATGCGCCACGCGCATGTGTTACCACCTCCCCCACCATGTCAGTTCCAATGTGAGCCATGCTTGTGCCGCATGCCAACAAAAGTACACGGGAAACGTCTCTCCACAACATTCGACGAATAGGGACACGCAGTCGTTGTCCATCGTACACGAAGAAGATGAGCCAAACAAAAAACATAAGGACGTCATCCATAAGGAACATGATTGGACTCTCTCTCTCTCTCTCTCTCTCTCTCTCTCTCTCTCTCTCTCTCTCTCTCTCTCTCTCTC